GAGGTAGGTGCAGGGCTGCGCGCCTCAGAGCAGCCCCGCTGGGTGCTGCGCGCGGGTGCTGCCCCAAAACCCTCTCAGCGGAGAGGCACTGCTCAAGTTTCCCGTTCTTACTAAAGCTGTATCAATAACTTTATTTTTTTTTCTGAATGTGTGGCTTCATACAGTTAGTGACTAAAGGCCTAATAGCGAGGAAAGCTTGTGCATGCTAAAGTGATATGAAGCCTCTTCATCATGCTCTACTCTCAGACTTTTGATAATAAGGTTACTGCTTGCTGTGGCAGTATTTAAAGACCTCAGCTGGCCTCCAGGAGGACTCACCCTACATGAGTAGGAGATCTCTGGAGATCTTCAAAACCCGCTTGGACACAGTCCTGTGCCACGTGCTCTAGGTGACCCTGCGTATGCAGGGGGGTTGGACTAGATGATCTCTAGAGGTCCCTTCCAACCCTAAGCATTCTATGATTCTATGATGAGGGTGACACATGGTTCCTGTGCTAGTAAGCAGGTAAACGAGGTGGGTTTGGGGTGTAGGGAGCGAGTCAGAGGCGCCTGGGCTGGTTCGGCGAGGCCTTGGCCACATGGAGCAGGCGTTTGGAGCTGCGTATGATCCAGCCGTGAGCAAGCGCAGCCGCCCCGGGCATCCTCCACCCCAGGGAGAACCGGAGGGGCCTGTGCTGTGAGTCTGGCTAAAGCAGGTCGCTGCTTGAGCTGGCTGCGTGCTGAGGAGTAGCAATTATATTTGCTTTCAGCAAGACCTGTAGTCCCTTCCTTGGGGAGGCCCATGTCTAGTGCAGACCTGTGGCACCCTACGTCCCTGAGTGTTGCTGCAGGGTCCTGGGGAGCCGGCTGGCATCGCAGCAGCTCAGCTGGAGCAACCTGCCCTGCTGCACGGGCTCTTAGGCTGCTTCTGCTTTCAGCTCCTGTAGTTTTCCAATCCTTGGTTCTTCCTGTTCACTTCTCATTGTAAGTAAAGGGAGCCAGACACAATCATTTCACCTAAAATGTGTTACTTAGTCTCTTTCCCATGACAAACCAATAGCTAAAACACTTTTCTAGTTCCTATTTCTTTTTTTTTTTTCCCTTTTAACTACTCTAGGAAACTCTATGAATGTCTGGGATTTGGTCATCCTAAGGAGCACTGGTCACAAACTGTAACCTATGTAAAAAGCAGTTACAGGGGGATTGGGGTGGAAGCTAGCTGTTTAGCCACCTTGACATGATTTCAAGAATTATCAAGTTGTTTATTTCAGAAAAAACAGTATCTGGGTTATGCTAGAGAAGGCTTAGATTATCTTCTTGTTTTTTTCTTCTGTGAGCCAGATACAAGCAGAAGAAGGAACTGGAGAACAGATTGGCCTCTATGAAAACCTTTGTGGAGAGTGGGCAAGCAGATGACGATCAGATGCGAGAATTTTACCTCCTGCAAATCCAAAAATGGATCAGCATCAGCCTTGAGGAAATAGAGAGTATTGACCAAGAAATGGTCATTTTAAAGAGCAGAGCTACAATAAAACAGGTACAAGATCTCTCTTGAACTGCAGGTTCTGAGGGCTGTGGTTACTTAGACCTCGTGGTAGATGCTGTTGTGAATAAATTTGAGAGTAAATGATTCTCAGAAGCAGAGTTTTATTCTGTAAAGTTCTAGATTAAAATCTAGCTCACATACAACCTAAATGGACAAGAGTTTTTTTAGGTGTTTTTTTTTTCTTGGTCACTGTCTAATGCCACCACATGTTCTAGACAGTCAAACCTCATGAAATACTAGAGCATTGAATATCAAAGGGAATGCCTGTTCTGATGATTGAAGTTACTTGTGAGCCTGTTGTGTAGAGCAGTGTTTGTGGCCTTTACACACCTAAATGTCTGTCAGGATTTAAAAATTCATAAGGTGCCATAGCCTTGGCTTTTTGATGCGACTTATTTGTGCAGCTCTTTATCTGGCACCATAGAAATCTGCTTTTCTGTAGTGCCCAGAGGATAACCTCATTGTGAGTGATAATTCTACTTGCTGCAGAAAGTGCTGCTTGATCCCTGGAATCCGGGATAAATAACGAGCTACACTTTGTGCTAGGATCCAAGCGGATCTGATCAAAACACAAAGCTGACCAGGATGACCCAGCACTGGTGTAGCAGAGGCACCAATAGAAGTCATTTGTAGAAGCTCACAGATAGAGTTTCATGATTTATGCTGCATTAGGGCCCGATTTGTGCATCTCAGGATGTTGCTCTGCCAGCAGAGGCATTTCTCATCCACAAGACCTTTAGTAACTCGTTTGGGATGGAAAGGAAAGAAGGGAGCTGCCATCTCCATGATTATCCTTTGACTCTTGTTTGCAACTTCAGTCTTCAGCACCACCACATGGTACTTCCCGGCAAGTCAGGACTCCATTGAAACCTTTCATTCTCACCCGGGATGCTGCTCAGGCTAAGTATGTTGTTTTTTGATTACTTGGACACAGTGTGATGCAGTGCTCTGTTGTCATATTAACCTTATGATATTTTTTTCCGATGCAGAAAACCAGTGTTTGGTTGTAAGGACTGTGCCCCATGAGGATGTGGCATGTGTTGTATCTCTGGGGCAGGGGATGCAGGGAGCCCTCAGTTTATTTCCTCCACTTCTCTGTAATTCCACCAACATGCTACAGTGTCTTTATTAATACTGTTTCTTTAGCAGGAGAGAAGAATGTAGGAGTCAAATATGACTGTGCTCGTTGACCCTGTGCCTGCTGTTTAGTTAGATGTGCAGAGGCGAGGCTTGTCTTTCCCTCTGAACCCCTTTATGATATAACAGGATTGTTCTCTCTTTAAAAAGCTGGTGGTAAAAAGCACATGTGGTGCCTGTTAGTCTGATGTGCACTCTGGAGGGTTTCAGTGAATTCAGATAAGTGATGGTAGTGCCTGGAGACTTGTGATACCTCCTGGAGATCCACCAGGAATGAGAGCCCATTACTTACAGTTTTTTGTAAGGCTCTTCCTAGGGAATCAACATCTTGACACTTTTTGGCACTGTCAGGTAAATGACACTTTTTGGAACTGTCAGGTTCTTGTAAATAATCTGGGAGCTAAAGCACAAAATGGGATAGAAACGAGGTTTCTTGTCATACTTTTGACGTGACAAGCCCTGAGCCTTCAGCATGTCTATCGAGCTAAGTATTGCCCAGATCAGTTTCCGGTGGCCTCTGTGGCAAGTTAGGCTAGCAGAGAACTTTCTCTTTTGAACAGAAGTGGTTCAAGGCTGTTGCAGCAGAACAGTCTTTCTCCCTCTGAACTTACTGGATGAGCTGTTTAAATGCTGTTACAGCCGGGTTACTGGCAAGCCTGTTGCTGAAGGCCCAAACCCTAGAAATGGAGCAATTCCCAAACCATCCATGACAAAACATCTCCAGTTGCAGCACAAGTTGGGGAAAGGAGCTTCTCTGTGTGTCATTATGTATCCTTATCAATGAACAGAAACAGGTAAAGTGCATTTCTTGCCTCTTTCTTCCCCTAGAGTGTTTGGTGCTGGATACCCTGGTGTGCCAACGATGACAGTGGATGACTGGTACGAGCAGCGCCGGAGGCAAGGGGTCATGCCTGGCCAGAGCGTCCCACAGAGAACACCAGGTATGGGGGGAAAGTAAAATTTGGCACAGAGAATTCGGGAACCGTTGCGAGGGGAAGAGGGAATGGGGATGTGTTCAAGATACAAACCATGCACTGATAAAGAGTAAGAACAAACTTCCCGTGTTGTCCCGTGAGAGCAGCTGGATTGCTGGGCTGCTGTGGGCAATTCCTCATTTCTCTCTGTACGAGCCCCTAGGCTGCTTCTGTCCTGAGAACTGGAATAGTGATCCTCCACCTGCCTCATGCCTCTCCCTCTCATTCTTGACCTACAGCAGGTGTAAATGATGAAGAACTGCAGAAGAAGCAGCAGGAGAAAAAAGAGGAAGAGGATGATGAGGAAGCTCTTCAAAAAGCTCGGAACTGGGATGATTGGAAAGACACACACCCAAAAGGCTATGGCAATAGGCAGAATATGGGTTGACGCTCCAGCTGCAGGAAAACTAGGGCTTGGAAATCCTGCAAGAATGCCTGTGTCCCAGAGATACAGGAGTAAATACACTGTACATACGCAGAGGTATCCTTGACTTCTTTGGGAGTCACCGGAGTCCGAGGAGGGAACAGGACAGTTTGTTTTGGTTTACGTAAGTGTCCAACAGAGTGCCCTTGTCACGTGCAGCGCTAACGCCGGAGCTCTTGTTGAGCGGAGCTCGTTCGGGGGATCCGTCTGCCTCTGCTCCCCCAGGCAGAGGCAGTCCTCGAGAGAAAGAACATGACCTTGAAAATCGCTCTTTGTATTGTTGGTGGATGTATTTATTTTTTTTCTCTATATTTTAAACAAAATAAAATCTCTTGTCCTGACTAGTTGCTGTAAAGTCCTTTGCTTTTTGTCCTAGGCTCTTCTAGAGCAGTCTTGTAAGGACGGTTTCCAGCAACCAGAAGAGCTGAGGACAGGAAAAGAGAATTGCCAGATGGTCTGTTCCAGGGAGTATTTTCAGTCGGTGTTTCTGAACGTGACAGCTTGCACTGCAGTGTTAGTACTATGGCAGAGGGGTCTTAGCAGCAAAGTGCATTGGTGGCCTTTCCACAGTCTCACCCCTTCCCTCTTCCCTAAGTGGCAGACAAAAGTGTTTCGGATTTCTGTATGTTCAGTCAGTCGTGTATTTCAAAGGCTGTGCTGTGAACTGTTGATAACAGACATAGTGCAAACGCCATAATAGAAATGTCTGTCCTTTCACATAGTATAAGAGGGAGATTGTGTGGCTATAACATAATATAATATACATTAAAATATAAATACATTCTGTATGAGCGCTCACACAACTTAGTGTCCTATAGGGGTGAGCCCTGGAAGAAATAGTGAAGGGTTCAAGAGGGATAATGCACTGACTGCCGGTACCCCTTGAAATCTGCTTACAGACTGGCCCTGTTGTGGTGCAAACGCTGTTTGGATTCCCCCTAAGCCACTTTAAGGAGCTGTTGTTAATGATCCTCAACCGCCAGATCCTGTGGGGTTATCCACAGCAGGCCCCAAGGTATTTACTGTTCGACTTTGGAAGTCCAGCCAGAGGGTTCACATGTGGACCTCTTCCTTATCTGCAAGGATGATGATAAAAAGAGGCTCTAGTATTTTTCCTTCATACTGCCATGATTGAGGCTCAGCCTGGGGCTGAGCCAGGCTGCAGTGGAGTTTCCATGTTTTACACCTTGCAGTAAGGAGCAGTCTCGGCTCCTCTGAACTGATCTGTGTCTGTGAAGCTGTGGCCTGCAGTGGATGCTGTTGTGACCATGTTTCTAGGTATTAAATCTTCGCAACTTAAATAACAAACTCTTGTCTCTGAGTTTTAGTGGCTTTCAGATCTCTTCTCTGAATTTTTTTTTTGCTTTAAAACTCATGCAACCTTATACACAGATTCACCACTTTCCTGCATTTGGTGTCAGAGCAGCCACTCTTATTAAGGATTTTTGGAAAGGTAGATCTAAGAAACTAGTTCCAGTGAATCAGATCCTGCAGATCTTACCATTGTTAGCCTGGAGCCGTATTTCAGGGGTACTTCTGTGCTACTTTGCTTTGTTTATTTTCTCTTCCATGTGCAGGCACCAGGGAATCTTGCCTCCAGTTGAGCTACATCCAGCCCTCCTTCCAGCCTTTCATGCTAGTTTTTCAGAGGGCTGTAATTCCAGCCAGAGCCACCATCTGCACATTCAGCCTTTTCTGATGGGTTTCGGAAGCTCTTCCCTTGCCCTAACCCTTCTCCAGCCTTCGCAGTAAGTCCCAGCACCCTCGATGTAGGTGCTTCCCAAGAAGAAAAAGCCTTTAGGTCTCCCGACCTTTGTTCCAGCAGTCACAGGTCGGGCCACAGCTGTATTGACAGCTCCTTTGCCCATCATCATTTCTCAAAGAGGATTATCTTCTCAGATGCCTTTATTTTTGCTCTTACTCTAGCACAGAATATGAAACTTTTCTGCCTGGGTGGATCAGCCTTGGGTTGAAATAACAAAGACCAGGGCTCTGTCTTCAATCTCCTTTCCTGTCTTTTCCAGCAGCCTCAAAGGGAGAAGGGGGAAAGGGAAAAGAGCCTCAGTCACAAGAAGAGCAGGGAGAGGGTGCTGGGTGGCTGGTGCTGGTGCCTTTTCTTGTCCCAGGCAGCGCATTTTCTCCTGGTCGGCAAAAAGGATTGGATTCGGTGTTGGACAGCAGGGCTGAGTGTCGGGAGCCATCTGGCAAAGCCCAATCCTGCGCCTCAGAGCAGGAGCCCTGGGGCTGAGGGTCGGGGCAGCCCTGGCTGGAGCAGCACCGGGAGGGCAGGAGAGCGGTTTGTGAAATACCCCGCTGTGGACGGAACCATTCCCGCAGAGGGGACACGGCGCCCGACCAGCCGCCTCCGACAGCCGCGGAGAGACGGGGGAACGATGCGTCTCGAGGGGAATCTCTGCATCCTGCATGGGAGCATCTCTGGGACGTCCGGCGCGACCTCCTCCTCCTCCCGCGGAGCAGCCGCGTGTCCTCGTACCGCACGTCGCGCCCGGAGCCTGTCCGCTCCCCTCCGCGGCCCACAGTTTATCTTGGATCAGCTGGTTAAAGTCACTGGATACACAACCCCAGTCCTGTATTTCCAAACTCGCCTTTTAACCTGCAAAACCAGAGTCTGGAGCAGAGCTTCTTGCCACCATGAAAACAATAATTGCAGCCTATTCCCAAAACCGTAGTGGTAAGAAATTTCCAAAACGCGTTTGAATGGTTTCTGATGCTCTGGAGTTGCGAGGAGCTAGTCAGGCAATTAATGTTTGTTGTCACCATTGTCTGTTTGCTGGGGAGTGCTTAGGGGAAAGGGAGGTGTTCGGAGCAATTTGGGGTTAGCAGCACCAGAGGAAAACATAAAGTTGCTCAACAGGAATGAAATTTCTTAATGCTGACAATGTGTCAGATAATGTTACTCCTGCGAAGTGCTACAAAGCACAGCAAATTCTCCGTCGTGTTGCGGCGGTGCCTCCGAGCTGCGGAGCCCGCGTTCCTGGTGGGTTGCCTTTGGAAAGGGCCCTGCTGCGCTGCACGGAGACGTCCGTGGGCAGGAGCGGAGCCACGGGAGTCTGTCCGTTCCCCGGCTGACGGTTTTCATTCTGTGGTCTGGAAATTCATGGAGTGCTTCTGGGGGGCTATAAAAAGTAACTAAAAAAAGCAACTTTTTGGTAGGCACAAATTGCTAGGCAGAGCTCTTGTGTCTTCACTGGAAAAAACTACGGATTTGGAAAGTTGCAAACCACAGGGTTCCAGGGCTGTAAGATTTCTGGGAATATGTCGTGGGGCGGGCGGCAGGGACGGGCAGGAGGGATTGTTTAGAGCACGGCGAACCGCCGGGAGGCATGGGGAGAGGAAAAATAGTTCTTCGATGCTGGTGATGGCTTCAGCATTTGATTTATTGCAATTGTCCCACTTCTGGTTTGGACTGAGATGGAGTTGAACCTCCATCATCCCTAAACTTGGGGTTTGATGGTTATTCTTCAGCTCAAGGGTCATTCTGGGAGCCGCCAGCCTAGGAGAGCGGCCTGGCTCTCTCGTGGCGGGTCTTGGTGTTTCCAGCACCCCCGTTTGGGGCTGTTTTGCCCCAGATCCCACAGTGGTGGCTGCGGCAGGTGGCCCCAGCACGACGAGACCTTTGGCCGGCAGGATGAGCGCGGTGGGTGCCGGGGAGGAGGGGAC